TGTTCGCCTCACGGTACCTAGCTGTAGGATGGTCATGACGAAGACACCGAAGGCAAGAATTACAGTCACTGAGGACGCTCGAAAAGTGCAAGTTCAAGTGATGTATTTAGAGCTTCGCTCGATAAAGTAAAAAGCTTCGTAGTACTGAAGCTATGCCGAATAACACAATGGGCATATAGATCTTTGCACAGAAGTCACTGCGTAATTATCATATTACCATGATGTAGCGGTAGAACAAATTTGCATATTCGGAGCAAGTCAGACGATCGGAACGCATCGGGACAGAGAAAATACGGAGAAACGGACGTGACAGTTACTCTATTCAATCTCATCCCCCACCACCCCATCGATAAAAAATGTGTCATACCTGTCAGAAAAAGACACGCGAAAATCTTTGGTGTAACAGTGAATTGTCATGAAGTGAGTGAGAGACATGAACTAAATTCAGACAGAACGAAAGGACACTTCCTCGACAAGCGTTGTCTAGTGAGGGGGATCAACCAGAAATGGGCAAAGCCGGTTCCATGGAATTCGTAGTGGTTTACCACCTGATTCAGTGTGTAACAAATAAAACAATGTGCCCTAAAATTAACTTTCGCATTGCTAGAGTCATCCTCATCGTGCCGTAAGATACAATGATGCGAACTTCCCTGATCGTTGCCAAACTCAGAATGCATTCTAGCGTGATCATCCCACCATTTTGGGGTAAATATTCACCTAATTATCCTCATCTTACACTTGGCCACGTCTTTGAACAGGAAGTATGCACAGGAGGAACTGTTACAACCTAAACCTGGTTTTTATCAGCTGAACAACCAAGATGACATACGTTGGCAAACAGATTGTCACATACGTGACACAGCCTCATATAATGATGTGTTGCTAACCAAGCACTAGGACTAATTTAACTGTTCCGATATTGAGACTGTTGGTGGACTTGGTAAAATAGTCCGGGTTGGGTTTTCCGGTTGGAGAAATATGACTGAGAGTTAAGGACATTTGTTGAATCGGTTAAATATCATAAAAAGTCAAGCTTATTTATCAGTTGATTCTCTACACACTTTGGGTGGCCATCTCACCTACTATCTGTGTACTGAAACTATTCTCAGCTTTTTGTTCAAAAATACTACCTACTTCACAATTGGGCTACCAGATTTATTGCCAACAAACATCATTCGGAACCGGGGATTGGCTCATAACTTATGTATAATGAACCCTATGAATGAGTGGAGCACCACATACATACATCTTGACTGTTGTGGTCAGGCATTAGTATAATCGATTACGCATCGCAGATTTCATTTGCGGGTCGGGGATTATAGTAGTTTTGACTGCATGCCACTGCACGTTGAACGGTAGAAGAGGTGGACCCTATGTAGTCGCAATCAGCAGATGTTCGGTTATGGGATATGGAGTAGCGAATCACATAACACCCGGATATGACGGTGCGATATTGACCAGGACTACAGTGAAACTGCCCGTCATCAAAACTGGGTGACACTGGCCGGATCCGAAGAACGTTAGTGATAGTGACTTAAACAAACAAGCAACATCAAGGTGACTTAACAGAAACATTAAACGATTTTGAGGTAGACGAGCTGGAAGAGTGAGAGAGAACGGTTATCACTGTGGCGCTGTGGAATGTCATTTGCCAGAAGGAAAACCAAGAACGTGCCGCACAACTGTCAAGTTCAAGGTAGGTTTCATTGGCGGTGCATTCAAACTGAGTTTGTGAAAAGGAACTAATAGGTCGTGGATTGTGAGTTTCCCTGATCATCATTATGTTATCCAAACTATATACAGTTGAGATAGTTGCTTTCACCTTGGTGGTACATTTTCAGTCCGGCTGATGACCAACCGAACACTGACATATTGCAAGATTAGAGTGAACGACAAGAATACGTGGCACCCGTCTGGTCGGTTTTTCTCGATGGTGCAGGAATGTGGAATTAACGGGAACAGAACAACCACAGACCATCGGTGTTCGAACACAGCTGCTTAAGACACATTGCTCAAGTATGACCGGAAAATCGGATAAGTATAGTCGAGTATTACGGGGTCGATGAGGGGAACTGGAACAAATGATTAACCTCCAGAGGTTCTGTTGGTTCGGACGCGTGTTACGCATGTTATCAGATAGACTCCCTCGGCTTATGATGTGTACCGATGCAGTAATGGGTGAAAGAGGCTCAAACCAAGACCTGGCAGGAGATGTGTGAAAGCCCTGTAGCGAAAGTACAAGGTTATCAGTTATGCAAACTACAAACTGAATTGAATAATCATCGAAAACATTTCAAAAATTGTTCAGTTATAACAGAACAACACTGCCCCAACTAATCACTCAGAAAGTTATATTTCTTACCAAATAAACTCCAGTATAGTTTACACTCAATTTAGAGCTGCTTTCAGCCAAACACATCAAACATAAATGGTTGATTGGTCTGTAGTGTTTCATGACGATTAAAACCTCACCAGTGACTAAGACATGATATTTGAGGAGTAGAGAATAGTTTTTTTCCAATTGATTGACTGACTCACCGGGTGTTTTCAGTTCATAACCACTGCGTTTGCGTGGATCGATCAGAGAAAAATAGTATTTCAACGTGTGAATCGATTGAATCACTGTGCTTGTGCGATGCACACAACCGAACCGTACCAAATCCGGGAGGAATTCGGTCGTGAGGAATTGGTACAGTTGATCTTGCACCTGAGAAATTCATGAAAAATTGCAGTGAAAGTGGATGGGTGCAGAGCGGTTCGGGTTAATTGATCGCTCAAGAGCGGTTGGTGAAATATGCCATCAGTTCACTTACTTCGCAGATGAAGATCAGGACGCAACCATGGGATTTCCGGAAACATCTGCATCCCCTAGAGAGTCGATTGAGTTCAGCTGAACGCGACACGGGGAACGAAAGCTCCTTCGTGTACTGGTAAGTGAAGTTGGTTTGACCTAAAGATGCTCCTACCAACAAGCTATTGAGTCTGTTTCAGTTTCAGTTTGTACCACCATTAACCATGCACTTTCGTGTTCCGGTTTTGATTCCTGTCTTTTGGTCGCCCGTTTGGAAAGTTAAAAGTAGAGATGAGGAGAAAATGGAGAATTTCAGTTGATCAATGTTGCAAAGAAACTGAGAAGCTGCACGAACGCCACTGTTTACGACACTCTGTCATATCATTCAGTGTATCTCATCAATGATTACAATGGTCCCGAGGTCTGCATCCAGGTAGCCTAACACGACCTATATGACCGAGTATCCCGGTCGGAATTTCCACACCTTTTTGCCACCCTTATCTTTTTTCCACCCACTAACTGCCTCGGCAAACATCGTTTGCCGTGGCAATCTATTTGGTGACATGCATAACACATGCTCCAACCAAAGTAATCCACAGAGGTCGACCAGTTGCTCCAGTGGGCGACCGCGGTTAGCCATACGTGATGCGTCCGCCGGGTGAGATTTAGCTGCCCAAATAAATAAATAAACTTGTCCACTTGTTCTATTACTTCTCCCGGTAAGACTGAAGCTGGGTGCAGGGCCAACCCAGTCTTGTAGCAGCATTATACACTGTGAAGGTGCAAAACGCATACTGGACATGGTTACGCTGGCACTCAATCTACCCAGAAAATCTTGCGACTTGGTTCTTGATCTGAATCCGTGGTGTATCAAAATATTAGGAGCCAGAAAAATCGATCGCCATCATCACTGTCCAAGAATTCACAGGTGAGTCAAAGAGATCTCGTGTGGATCAAAGAGATACACACATGCTACATTTGGGTAGAACGATGCATCTAAAATTTTATTTGAGTGTATGCCATATGAGTTCTAATCCCGAATTAATGTTTAAATGTGTAATTGTTCTCTGATTAAATCAGGGGATCTACTCGTAATTATATCCGTACTATTTTCTGATTATTGACCGTTTTATTGCTCTCAATTATAGCAATCAATTAGGTTATTCTGAGCAACCTGCCCGTTCGTTTTCGTGCGGTGTTGAATTTGTAGTCAGATTTTTAAATTACTTCAATTCGGTTGTATGGCTGATGTGTTGTCCATAAGCATTTCATCAGCATTTGTATTCACAGAACGATTGCAAGCTTTTAAACCAGTGCTTCAGTTCAGAACGTGATTTTGCTGAACCATAGTCTGAGAGTAGCGGGCAAATTACTGGCTATCGTGCTTCTGAGGACAAGTAGACGCGTTAGATAACAAACGGGCGAATTTCGGCGTAAATGAGTAAGTGAAGCGAGTAGTGATTTGGAAACGACATTTTGAAAGGCCAACATACAACGCCTGTGAATGGTCAGCAAGTATCTGTAAAGCAATCTTTTCGCACGTGTAAGTTACATTACTCTTCAAGCAGTTCCTAAGGTAAATGTGCCAGGGGTGAGACTTATTAGCCAAAACTGACGACATAAAGCGGTGAATTCGCCTTTGCGCAAAAACTAATGTAAGGAAAAATATAAGCCACAAGGAGCAGCACAGTGTCGAACAAAGGTGGAGATGGCAGACTATCAGACACAAGAGTGTCCGAGTTTGTGGATCTGAAAGGATGGAATATTTGTTCTCACATCAGAAACAGGACAACCTATTGGATGAACTGCTGCTGTATCCCAGATAAAATGTTAGATTGTATTCCAGTTTCGGTAAGTATTGGTGGTACTGAATTTGAGTCCGATATCAGTCAACTAATTTCTCATTCCGTGCTTCATATATATGGAGCGATTCCAGGGGTCAGTTCCGTCAATGCGAGGCATCAGCATCAGAGGACAGCGCAAACAAACCGAGCTGATAGCAACCTCCTTAGTAGAAAAATTAACATGCAAAGTAGATCAAGGCTGAAGCGAAAGCAAAAAGAACTACGAAGTGAACTATAATTGAACATTATAAAACTAAAAAATCAGGCAACTGGAAATTACACTGTTTCTGTTGTTATCGAAGATAACGAAAAGCAGAGCATTGGACTGTAATGAAGTTTCAATTGCCCCGAATAAGCATGCCGTGAAACATACAAACAATAAACTAGACTGTTCATTGCGAAAGTTCACGATAAATGTAAATCAAATGTGATCATGAAAGAAAGGTAGTGCTTTTCTGCAGTTGAGAAAAGAAAAAAATGAAATAAACCACACCGGAGTCAATACACCCACAGAGTGAACAGACAAAGTGAATTTTACGCTACGGTTAGCCTGATTGATTACTTCCGAGTTCCCTGAACAGCGAGAATTGAAATCTCGATGTCAATATGATAGGTTAATTGGTAGTGCACATTGAAGCCAACCAAGTCTTGCCAACACACGATTTTACTGCATAAGGATGCCTACATCTTAGAACAGTGGGCCTCATTGTGAAGTGACAGCAAAAAATCACCACAGTATTGATTCCTTGTGATGTCGATTAATGTTGCTAGTTACTCAGTCTGTATCTTTTGGATCACAACCAAGAGGAGGAGAGAGAAGAGGAAAGTCTACTTATCGTGGTTATTTTCATTTCTTGTATACATGACATGGATAAAAATGTGGTGTGCTTAGCTATCGGCAGACACCTGTAATCTATATCCAAGTAACATCACAACGGCACGAAGAAAATAAAATTGCGAAGTATCATCCGAAAAAAGAAATAGAAGAAAAACAGAACGATTAGCTTACATCCAATGGGGCTCGAATCCAAACATCTGGATTGCACAGCAAATAGCCGTGCAAATGGCGAATCAGTTGAAAAACGTACGAATGTTGCGTTCCTTGAACAGATGCTCCCGACAGTGCCACGGCCCGAATCAAGGCGAGCAGATTGCGTGCGGCCGTGATCAATCGGGTGAGGAGATCCATCGTTAAATGATGTGGGGATGCATTACGTAATGCGCTGGCGAATAGTAACAGACCACGCGTTTGGACCAGTTGACGAGCCAGTAAAGGAGAGGCACGAACAAAGCTGAGAACCAAATGTAACAGGTGTGTACTGTGCGAAAAAGGAAGGAGTGAAGAGGAACGGAGGAAAAAGTAATGTGTCAGTTGCCATACAAGAAAAATTCAGGGAACAATACCAGGTAACAACTCCAGTGAATAAATATGCTGGTTTACATGTCATAATTTTGCTGGTGGAACTTCAATGTGGCACAGTGTGTAACTTAGTGGGGCATTCCTGGAAAGTATTAAATGATTTTTCGCTCAATTGTATGAGAAATTATCAGGGATGGATTCAACAATCGAAAACATCCGGATTTAAACTCCAACCTTCTGGAAAACACAATAGAATGGACCAATTTTTCTGATAGTCATTTGTGCTGCCTACCAACGATACAGATAGATCTTCCTCTCTTGCATTCAATCCCATCACCGCAGCCTGACTTTCCCCATTATCTATGGTATGGCAGTCTTGTGATTAGCCACTACCTCCTTCCTGAAAATTGTATCTTTGCACATTCAATAAAAGAAAAGAAAGAAAAAAGAATTCACCTTCTCAAGGGAAGACGAGCAAAAGCCAAAAACATAAGCGAACAGAGGATTAACATTCACAAACCCCTTGGATTGCGGTCCTGACACCGAAATGGTGGGTCACGATTGGTTTGCAGTCATAAACAAGACCAGGAACAGGACGATTCGGTCAGGTAGGTGTGAGGATGAAAGGCTAAATGTACTCTCCGGTTAAAGATCGTTACAACGAACGGTGTTCTAACAGTCTTCGCTGATTAGTATTTGTGAAAAGATTGGGCCTAATGAGAAACGCTGGGCTCCTGAAAAAATATTATTTGATTGACCGTGCTAGATGGGTTCATTGACGAGTGGCATGAGTGTCAAGTATGCATGGGTTTTCTTTAATATCGACAATAGCTAAAACTTCTTGGGAATTTCAGCAGTCAATTAACATACGCATTACAGCATCAGCGACGTTCTCCGTGAACGGGATGCCTACGTTGCATACACACAGTGAAATAAATATGCACCCACCCCACCCCTACCTAACACCAACTTTGCATTAAACATGTGCAACCGAAGGCGTCAACCACATGTAGTAGTTGTATACCTATGAGTGCGGATTAACGCATACACACAAGAGACAATATTTTTTCATAATTCCTTATGTATCCAATCTAATAGCGCATAATTTTACATTTATATATTTATTATTATTATTATTTATTATATTTTATATTTGAACACAATTTTATTAACAAAGCGAAGAGAGCGTCCACGGAGACAAGAACTCATACTTGAATCCAAACAAGTTTTGCACTTTTCACACTTATTTGTTAAAATTTCCCAACTTCTACTGATGGTAGGTTTTGCACACCTCCTCCGAGTTACGTTGAAATGCCTCAGGCGATTCACCATGTGGTAACACATAGATCGCTTTCGAAGAACAAGAAAAGCGTCCATGCACACACCACAAAATGCATAAAAGTACCGAGGTACAGTCTTTGAGGAAGAAAAGAGCCACTATTCAATTAAGTTGCAACCTCTATAAACAGGATGCAGGTACCGCAGACAGCATGCACCGCATGTATTCTCATCGCTGAGCTATGCACAGACGGCCTTTAGAGGTGTGTGGGAAAGTATTAGATGCCACCACACTCACCTTCTACAATCGGTATGCACCGTCT